AGGGACGAGGGGAAGGAGCAAATGGTCTGATGAATTACAGGCACTGAACTCCAGCCAGCTCCAGTGTTGTTTTTGCTTTTGGGGGTGGGGGAAAGGGAGGTGAGGGGGTCACACTGCAGAGCCAGGGGTGGGGCCGGGGTATCTTGCCCACCCCATTGCTGCAGCCTCTGGGGGCCCAGGGTGAATCCCCCTAGCTAACTGCCCACCCCCTGGAGCCCAAAGGGCTATCCTTGAGTTTCACAGAGGGGAATGGGGGAAAGGAAGTGGGGGGAGGGCAGAGTGGGCCAAACCTCTTCAGCGGTCATCTTGTCTGCCTGGGACATCAACAGCCGCTTGATGCTGAGGACAAGGAGGGAGGATCCAAATTAGGCTGCACTGAAGAAAGGAATTGGCAGGGGAAGAACTGGAGGGGTGGCCCCAGGGAGCCCCATGACTTGGGTCAGTTCACACCATTGGCTCTTCCACTGTGGGATACCCCAAGGCGGGGGTCTGCTCACCCTTCAATCCCACCCACTCACAGCACTGGTGCCTCTCAGAAGCCTGGCTAAAGCCTGGGCACCAGGGAGTGGTCATCAGGGAGTCTTTCCTGACTCACACGCTCAAGGGTCACCACCCCTGGGGCGGGGGGGCTCCATCTGCAGGGAGGAGACTGTGGGAGATTAGAGGCAAGTGCCTGGTACACCAAATATGCCCACTTGGCTGATTTAGCCCCCAAAGGACTTAAAGACCCAGTGATGGTCCAAGTGGTGGTGATGAGCCAAGTCCCTGGGTGCCCAGCCCTGTGTGGGCAAGACTGGTTTTGTCCTCAGTTACCCTGAGGGACTCAGGATCTTGGGGCAAGGCAGCCCAAGGCCTGGAGATTGGGGTTGGGTGAGGGGAGGTAGGCTTGGCATCCCTCAGGGGAGATGCCTAGGTGCCTGTAGCCACACTCACTAGTCCTTGTTGATGCTGCCTTTGCCATCGGGATCCAGCATCTTGAAGGCATTTAGGATGGTCTCCTCGGCATCCGTACCTGCCCACAAAAGCCCTTGAATCATGGGCTGTTTAGGGCTCCAGTCCTGCTCTGGGCCACCCCAGGGCTTGGCCTGAATGACCCTCCAGCTCCTGAGCACTGGGAGACCCTGCAGCTCCCACTCTGAGGGGACTACTCTGGGGGTCCCCAGAATCCTGCCCAGGCCCAAAAGTGGAGTGAGTGCTCAATGAGTGAAGGACAAAGGCTACCACCACGAAGCAGACAGGAGGAAGGTTGAGCTCATGTGCCCCCTGGGTGTGTGACCCACAGATGCGGATACCAGAATGTCAGGTCCTAGGGCTTTTTAGCAAATCTGAAAATCTGGATTTTTATGTGAAATGTCTGGATTTCTAAGTGTTAGGAGCTAACAGTCTGTCTTGGCAGACTGGCCTGAGGGCTGCCCCTAGCCAGGGAGGAGCCTGGACCCATGGTGCTCACCACCCCATGGCTCTCACCCGTCAGCTTCGCCCCAAACATGTTCAGGAACATGGTGAAGTTGATGGGTCCTGAGGCCTCCTTGAGCATGGCGTCCAGCTCATCATCCTTGATGTTGGTTTTGCCTGTCGCCGACAGAAGGCAGGGGCAGGAATGTCACACCTCCCCTGGCTGTCCTGTTGTTGGTGTGTCTGCTGTCCCCACTGGTTGCCCACCTCCATCATTCAAAGTTGGGGAGGCCAGAAGGAGGGAGGTGAGCCAATGGGGGGATACTTGGCCCAGGTGTGGTGGCCCAGGTCTGCATGTCAGCAGAACCCCAAACCCTGGGGAGATGGGCAGCTGAGGAGGAGGAAGAGGCCATGCGTGGAGCCTAGGAAGACCTGTGATCTGCTTACCTGGATGTAAGGGGGCCCAGAGGAAAGAAACCTACCCGTTCTCCCCTGGGATTGCCTCAGGCTGAGAACATGCCCCCAGATGGGAAGTTGAGGGAGAAAGGCCCAGCCTTTGGCTCTTCAGAGGAGCATGATCCGGCCTCCACGTCCTCTCCAAGGTCTGTCTGTTTCTGGGCTTCCTTACCATGCTTGGGGGAAGGAGGACCAGCCTCCCCATGCAGTGGTGTCCCTCTGGGGTGTTAGCCCCTCCCTGGAGCTTTGGTCCCAACCTCCCCATCCAGGATACCCATGCTTGGGCTGTGCCACCCACCCTGTGATGCCCTGATCAAACCAGAGGGATTTCTCCCCTAGGGAGGCCCAGCCCACATCCTCGCAGCCCATGGGGAATGGGATGTCAGGTCAGCCTGTAAGGCCCAGGTACAGAGCAAAGCTCTCCAGGACTGGAGGACATTCTGAGGTGGGTTCTAGAGAGCTCTGTCCCACGGCACCTACCCAGAGAGGCGTAGGTGTCCTTCAGGTCCTCCTTGTCGATGAAGCCATCTCGGTTCTGATCCATTAGTGTGAATGCCTGAAACCGAGGCCAGGGTCACTGGGTTGCCAGGCTGGCCACACCATGTTGGGACGGGCATCTATTCTCACCGGCTCTGGAGTGAGGCTCACGTAGGGTCTTTTGGCCACCTGCATTATGATTCAGGAGACCCCTTGGGCAGGAATTACTGGGTGGAGGGGCCCTGGGGCAAGAGCAAAGCCTCACCTCCTTGAACTCCTGGATCTGGGTCTGCTCAAAGTTGGAGAAGACGTTGGATGATGCCCTCTGGGCCCGTAGGCCACCCCCTTCCTTCTTCTTAGTCTTCCTGCTGGCCTAATGTGAGAACACCAAGGCTGAGGGGTCTCCAGGCTGTTGTTTTGGAAGACAACACAGAGGACTATGGCACTAGGGGCTCCCGGGGGACCCCAAGCCTGGGTCCCTGGGCTGGGGCAGCCCTGACAAGGCCCTAACAGCACTGTACCCAGGGCTTGTCTTGAGCTTTGCCCTGCTCCATCTGCCATCCAGCCAGGAACCAGCTGGGCCTGAATGTCCAAGGAGCAAATGGACTGTGCAAGCAGCCAGCAGGTGGGTGGGCCAGTTCTAGGAATCCCTCCAGTGTGACGGCCAGGACCCTCCATCTTCCAGCCCTAGATGTCACTGAGGCAGCCATGGGGCACAGATCTTCCCCACCTAACACCCTTACTCATGTAAACAAACCTAACTCTTGTGCACACACACTCGCACAGAACACACTCATGTAGGCGACACACGTGTACACACAGTCACAAATGCACACAGTGCACAAACACATGCACGCTCACACTCGATCCTGCCCCGGTGGCCTGCTGGCCACACTCACCATGCGTGGGTCTGCTTGATGCGATGGTCTGTGCCCTCCTTGCCCAGGTCACCCGTCTTAAGCTCCTACTCAGTCCCCCAGGACAGCTCGGACTCCGGCTGCCGCTCCCTACAAGGATAGGCCCAGGGCCACCCTGGGGACCGGACAACTGCAGAGTGAGCTTTGGCACCTGGCGGGTGACTCAGATGCTGCCATCTTGCCCTGCCCAGCAGGGCCCCAGCTTCCCAGGCAGCTCACCAAGAAGGCTTTTTTCTCCTGTTTCCTGTGCATCTCCAGGGCCACCTGCATGAGGACCTGGGCGGCTGCAGGAGCCAAAAGAAGGAGTACCTTTCCTAGATTTGCACAAAGTCACTGTGAGTGGCCTTGGAGGCTGGTGAGCAAGTGTTCTCTGAGCGTGTTGTGTGTGCCCTCACCTCTCTGCTTCAGTGGCAGAAAAGTCCCAGGGCCCTAGGTATCCCCATGGCAGCGAGCTCCTTGCGTGGCACAGAGTAGGGATAACATTTCTGGGATGGAAGGCCATCCAGATGGGCTGGGCCCTGGGCCAAATTCCCCACTACATCATGGCCCAGCAGGCAGAGGCCAGCAGGCAGACTCTGGGGGGGACACCTGGTGCCAGATACTAGAGGTCACCACAGGGTCAGGGGCTGGGTGCCCTAGTCCTGGGTTGTGGGGAGTGCAGGTTAGGGGCAGGAAAGGGTGGGGGTCTATAGGCTGAGCAGAAGGAGAAGGCCTGGGGGTGGAATGAAGAGGGCAGTCAGGACTGCAGTTTCACACCTGGAGAACAAGCCCTCAGAGCCCCTTGCCCCTGTACCATGGGCGGGGGGGTGGGGGAGGCATCAGCAGCAGGGGTCCCCTAGGGCACATCTGGGAACCACATCGCATGTGAGTGCCACCATGGCGGGGGTCCTGCCCCCAGGGGCACACCCCTTCAGTCACATGACACCTCTGAGGTGCTGCCACATGTGATCCCAGGGGCAGACCACCATTTGCCTGCACTGAGTATGGGACAACAGACACCCTGAGGAACTTGGGGAGGCATGACCCACTGCAGGGACCTGGGGGCTCCCTTGGGTTCGGCCTGGAGGACTCCCAGAGGGAGAACACGTGACTAACGTGGGAGACCTGGGCTGGGCTGCATTCCCAGTTGGGCAGGGTCTGACTGTGATGCTTGGAGAGACCCTAGCAGGGCTGTAGGATTGGGACCACAACATTGAGAAGGGAAGACATGCAGGATCTGTGCTCAGAAGGCCCCTGGTGTGGGGAAGGCCAGAAGACACTGGCAGAGCCCCTGGGGAGGTTTTCTGGGTTGGCAGCACTAAAGATAGCCATGGAGCCTGGCTCCAGGGAGAATATCAGGATTCAAAGTGGACAGCTGGCCCTGACAGGTGCAGAGGTGTCAGCAGGCAGTTCCAGTGTCCTGAGCCAGGTGGGAACCCCCTCAGCCTTCAGGAAGGGCCCAGGGCCAAAGCGAGTCTCCCCCAGCTTCAGGGGTCTTCCCCATGTGTATATGGGCATGTGTGTCCCCCACTGGTCCCCCTACCCCGCCCCACTAGAAGCTACCATTAGGCGGTCCTCTACCAGCACCTTGGCCTCACCTTCAGCCCAAGAGACACTTATTTTTGATTCTGGAAGCAGGAGTTGCTGAGGAGTCTTGTTTATTTTAATATCCAGGGAAGGGAAAACATATTTGTCACCTGAGGTCATCTGCCTAGATGCTCAAGGGCAAGAATGAGGGTGGGGTGGGAGTGGGGGGTGTGCACTCAGCATTACCGCATGGCATCTTGGTTGAAGAGGTTTATTTTGTGTCCTGTGGGGTCAGTGTGTGCTTACAGCTTCCTCAGGGAGCAATGAGGGGGCTTGGGAAGGACTTACCCCAACCCCACGCCTGGCAGAGGCACCAGTGGATGGCATCAGGCAGGGATCCTCAGAGAACTCAGAGAAGGGCCTGGTGGCCCTATAGGATGGGCCTCCCTGTTCCCACCCTCAGCCCAGGAAACAACACAGGCGATTTTCCAGTTTCCCAGCCGGAGGCCTAGAGCCAGGACTCCAGAGCAAGCTGCAGAGAAAACAGGCTCTGCCCAGGACCCTGGAGGAGGCTGGAAGAAACTCCCTTCCATGCAGATTTACTGAGCAACTGCTTTGTGCCCTGCGGTTTTCATCTCTGTATTCCATTCTCTTTAGATTTATCGTTAAGTTCTCTTTGGAAACAGGAGGGTTTGGGAGACTAAGGAAAAGTGGGCTCCCCTCTGGCATACCGGGGGCCCTAGTGAGCCCCAAGCTCTGGTTCTCAGGGAGCTTCTTTCTGGAGCAGTGCAGGGACCAGGGGATGAGTGGTCCTCCTTCCAGACCACCCCCCTGCCCCCAACACACACCTGGTTGCTTTGGGAACCGTGGGTCTGCACAGCCAACACAGTTGGGAAGCTGTCTGGCCACCACCGCTCCATCTTTGGGTGGCCCCTCTGCACACCTGGGGCTGACCTGGTCATGTCTTTGCCAGAGCTAAGCACAGAAGCGGGACAGAGTGCGACAGATAACTCGCAGGTGTGGCCTCCTACCCCTGCCCACGGTGAGTAGCAGAAGCGAGAGAATGAGGGGGCCCATCTGGGGGCTCAGTGGTCCCTGAGGCCCTGGTTGAGGTGGACCTTGGAGCTCGGGACTGCAGGCAGGAGTCAGGGAGCAGGCTCTACTAGTGTGCTCTTCCCAGGAAGACTCCAGCCCCCCGTGCTGGAGAGGCTCTTGCAGTGAGGAAACCTGGCTCTGCTGGGGGTCTGAGACTGGGGCAAGGGCAGCTGTAAGGGGCACCTGAGGCAGTGCCGTCCCAGGAAGAGGTTCGAGGCCACCATGATCAGCCTGGCCTGAGTCCAGAGGGGTTGGCCACAACCCCTCCCCTCGCCTCTGCTGGGTGAGAGGCCTGGGGCAAGGGGGCCTGCGCTCAGGTCACACTTAGTCCCTGGACCCTGGATTCCCAGCTCAAAACCTCGAACCCCTTTCCGGACCATGGGCCCTTCCTGGGCGGTCATGGCAGCTGACCTGGGGTGACCGTGGGCCTCTTCAGCCGCGGCGCGGGAGTGGGGGCTCCTTCCCCGACTCGCCGGCCCTGACAGGAGAGCCCAGACACTGCAGGAGGATAAAGAGCCATCTAATTTACATTTTGTGAGCCTGACTTATAGTTTTCAAATATTTGGACCTATAATGGGCGGGCTCCATTGGTGCTCAACCTGGCCTGACAACATCAGGGGCTGCAGAGAACACGAGGGTAGGCCGGGTTTCACACCCTGGGCAAAACCCGCCCCCGCCGCCCAGCCGACACCTGCTTCTCGCGCAATCGCGCATGCGCAGCTGATCGCCGAGCCGCGCGCCCGGTGTGGTCCCCGCCCCGAGCGGGCGCACGCTGTTTCACCCCCGTCCACCGGAGGGCGCAGTCCTACTTCTGTTCGCCGCCGACGGCGCATGCGTTCGCCCTTGTACGCTTTTACGCCTCCGCAGCTTTCCGGGCCCTTGCAGCGTCCTCCTCAGATTGTGCTTCCGGCGTGAAGGTTACGGACAAGATGGTGCCGCCGGTGCAGGTCTCCCCGCTCATCAAGGTGAACCAGGCTGTGCGGCCGTCGCCGGGTGCTCGGCTCCGCGTGCGCGACCCCAGGGAGCCCGGGACCCGCGCCCCCGTCCGCACCCCGCGCGCTCCCGGGACCCC